AAAAAAAAAGGGGGAAAAAGAGGGTTGAGTGGGGAGAGAGAGACAAGCAGAGACGCGCGCCGGACGAGTAGAAGAAGACTGAAAGAGAAGAACAAGTGAGAGCAAGAGAGAGGAGCGGGAGGAGCGCGCGAGAGAGAGAGAGAGAGAGGGAGAGAGGGAGAGAGGGAAATAGAGAGAGAGGCGAGGCCGTCAGACACGCAGAGGCTGGACGGGAGGGCAGAGTAATTCGAGGCGAGGGAGCAGGCAGGGGCGATCCGATGCACACCGTCGGGTGCGGGTCCGAGTGCAATCGCTACCTCGCAGCTGTTGGCCGGCCATGATTGCGACGACGGCACATCCGAGAGCCAGCCAAAGTAGGCCATACGGCGCGAGGTCGACGCGCTGCTCTGCCCTTCCTCCCGCACAATCCGGCTTGCGTGAGTCGGACCGCCATTGGGCTGAGAAAGGCGGCTCAGAACTGCACCGTGACGGTAGAGACGAGCGCCGAGATGGATGGTTGGCCATCGATTGTGCTGATCGGCGCATCCAATGTGATGCCGTCACCTGCCGACTCCACCGCGCAGATGCAGGATGGAGAGCAAAGGACGGCCAATCTGCTCGTGTGCCGACTTGTGCCCGACTGTCTGCTGACCTGCCCGCCTGCCCGCATGCCCGCATACCCGCCTGCCGACCGAATGGTGTTCCTCGCTGCGTCTCTGAAATTCGAGCGGATGCTCGATCGAATCTCTGCCCCCAACCCCCTCTCGGCGCCGGCCCCCGCAGCGACACGCGCGCTCACTTGCCATCCGACTTCTTCTTCTGCTTCCTAGGCGGCGTCACGGGCCTACCCATGTTGATGCCGCCATACGCGTACTTCTGCTTCTTCTCCGCCGGCTTGAGGATCTGGAACGAGCACAGCAGCGTCTCGTCGACGCTCATCATGGCGCCCGCGTTGTCAAACTCGCCGCAGTAGTTGGGCGCCGAGAACAGCGTGACGAGCTGGCGCTTGGCGAAAAACTCGTAGCCGTCCTCCACCACCTGATGCGCTCGGCAGATGAGGTCCATGTCGTGTTTTTGCAAGAACCGAGACACCACGTCGGGCCCAAAGGTGAACGACACGCCGCGGTCGTTTTCCGACCAGCCCGAGATGTCCTTGTCCGGATCCGACCACAGCAGATCGCACAGCAGACCCGTGTCCGGCACGTCGGTCGGTCGCATGACGCGGCGGATCTGCTCCATGCTCTGCAGGTCGGGCGAGAGGCCGCCGTGCATGGTGAAGATCTTCTCGTCAATGATGGCGGCGATGGGCAGGCAGTTGAAGCAGTCGGTGAACGTCTTCCACAGCTTGATGTTGAAGCGGCGCTTGCACTCGTCGTAGAAGCCGTAGATGCGGTTGATGCTCGCACACTCGTGGTTGCCGCGCAGGATGAAAAAGTTCTCCGGATACTTGATCTTATACGCCAGCAGNGGCGCTTGCACTCGTCGTAGAAGCCGTAGATGCGGTTGATGCTCGCACACTCGTGGTTGCCGCGCAGGATGAAAAAGTTCTCCGGATACTTGATCTTATACGCCAGCAGCAGGCAGATGGTCTCGAGCGACTGCTTGCCACGGTCGACGTAGTCGCCGAGGAAGAGGTAGTTGGCCTCGGGCGGGAAGCCGCCGTATTCAAAGAGGCGTAACAAGTCGTAGTATTGACCGTGGATGTCGCCACAGATCTTGATGGGAGCCTCGAGCTCGAGCAGGATGGGCTGGTTGATGAAAATGTCCCTCGCCTTGAGGCAGAGGTACTTGATCTCGTACTCTTCCAGATGGACGGGCTTGCCGGGGCGAGAGCCGCGCACCTCTAGGAGGCGGTCGATGACATTATCGAGATCCACCTCGGGGGTGGTGTTGTCGGCCATTGTGCTGGTGGGTGAGCGGCGCCTGAGATGCGAGCGTGGATGGGCGATCGAGTCGACGCATACATGGTGAGCAGCCGTGTGCGTATGCGGATAAAAGACGTGGGAAATAGAGACGGAAGGGAAGCAAAGTCAGTCGTCGTGTTTCTTTTGCAAGCCAGTGAGAGGCGAGCTTTGCCTCGCGGCATCGACGGTCATCCAAGCATACGACTGTGCGGCGAGATGATGCGATGCTCGTGTGCAAGCACGGCAGGATGGATCGATCGCTGCATTGAGGGTTGCGTATCGCACAGCAGTATCGTCTGCCCTTGCGCACCACAAGACGGAAGGAACGGGCACTGCGCCCATTTCGACACAAAATGCAGGTAGCGGTCGAGGAGCCTTGGTAGCGACAGGGATTGTCGATCGTGTCGTGCTTCGGATGCAATGGCCCGGATGCTGACCGATCCTTTGAAGCGGGCGGACGGACGAGAGGATACTTACGAAACTAATGAGGGAGATGAAGAAGCGCAAACGACTCGCTACGAGAATGCTTTCAAGCGAGACTTGGGCTTGTGGAGGTCACGAAGACAGCTGACGAGGGCGATTCAGCAGCTGTACCGGAACGGATGCTAGCCTCGATCGACGGTGGGTGGTAGGGTTGATACGATGCGAACGAGTCGTGAGAGGCGTCTTGGCTGCAAATGCCCGCTGACGGGAAAAAGACGACCGTGGGATGCGAGAGATGGCTCGAATCGATTGGCGCTGGGGCAGACGGATGCCTCGGTGATCGTGCAGCGGCGTGCGGTGTCGAGGCAAGGCAGCGGCAAGGCCAAAGTAGGATGGAGGGAGACGATGAGAACGAAGAGGCGAAAACCCAGAGCTGACCGCGTGACCGAGGGACGAGAGGAAAAGGACGAGTGTGGATCGCGATGCGGGCGCTTATCGAGCGTTATGATCGGGACCGAGGCGTGGTTGAGGAGCGAATGAATCGCCGCAGCTGAGCAGGAAACGACGAGGACAGCTGGGTGGAGGCGAGGTGGGGGGAGATGGGAGGTCGTGGTTGCGAGAGGGTAAGATGGCGAGGCAGCGGCTCAGCGATACGCTCGGCTGCGATGGCGACGACGAGTGCTGGCTGGCTGGCTGAGCGGTGCTGAGCGGTGCTGACGGGCTGCTGCGACCGACTGGCTTTGCTGGCTCAGCCTGCCGCACTGAGCTGCGAGGGCAGAGCGCGCTGCGAGTCTGTGTTGGCTGCGGACTGTTGGTGTGTTCGCGGCGCAGCGTGTCTGCCTGGCGAGGAAAAAAACTCGAGGCTAAACAGCAGGGAGGGGAGGGGGGGGGGGGGGGGGGG